AAGTAACAGAGAATGGGGGGAGAGGGAAAAGATGGGTTTCTAAAAAATGCATATTAAAAATCTTTAAGAACTACCTGACAAAACTAAAATAATTGGCTAAGTTTTCTTAAAAGCTTATTATTATCATTATATTCATGGGGGAAACGCTAAGGCAGTAGGGGCTATACAGCACTTGAGTACTGGGAGGAAATGAGGTTTCACCAACAAGTGGATGGTAGCTCCAATTTCATGTATCACAAGCCCTTCACCGGCAGCAAGGCACCAACCTTGAAGGGTAAATTCTTTGAAGATTTCACATTTGAGTATACATAATGATGCAAGCCTCGAGAATAATTCTGGGGAGAATTTACATTTAGTTACAACTAGATCAGCAGTGACGGGGGCAGGGGTGAGTAAAAAGTGATTAGGGCCACTACTGTGAGGCATATCACAACCCAGTATGCTAAGCAAGAGTTCCGGTTTCAACTTGCTTTTTTTTTTTTTACCTGTTTTTTCGTGCAGTGAGAGCAACTCTTACACTAAGATTCGGGTTCCACTCCCGCAGCATTCGTGTGTGTGTGTGTGTGTGTGTGTGTGTGTGTGTGTTATATATATATATATATATATATATATATATATATATATATATATATATATATTATATATATATATATATGCAAAACAACCACTCTGAAAGAATAGAGAAATTCCAAGCACTCTCGTGACTACTCACATTATCAAGGAACTACGATAATGTGAGTAGTTACGAAAGCGCTTGGAATTTCTCTATTCTTTCAGAGTGGTTGTTTTGCATATTCTGAAATCACCTGTTTACTTACTTGTATTTATTGCATATATATATATTATATATATATATATATATATATATATATATATATATATATATATATATATATATATATATGCGAAACAACCACTGTGAAAGAATAGAGAAATTCCAAGCACTTTCGTGACTACTCATATTATCATTGTTCCTTGATAATGTGAGTAATCACGAAAGCACTTGGAATTTCTCTATTCTTTCACAGTGGTTGTTTTGCATATTCTGAAATCACCTGTTTACTGTGATCTTATTTCACACACACACACACACACACACACACACACACACACACACACACACCCCACACACACACACACACACACACATATATATATATATATATATAATATATATATATATATATATATATATATATATAATATATATATGTGTTGTCCGTGCCGAATAGGTAAAACTTGCGATTTTGGCTTAAATAGCAACGTCCTCTTGCCGATAATGCAAGCGAAATTTTGTATGCAATAGTTTTGCAAAAATCATTCTGAACCTAACGAAAATATTTCATTGTATTTGTTTATTACTAAATTAGTGTAAACTTATCTAAAATGTATTTACTTGGATTAGGCTAAATTAAATTGAGCTTGTTATACTGTGGTTAGGAAAGTTTTCTAAGGTACTTTTGATACAAAATTATTAATTTTTACATTAACATAAATGAAAAAAATATCTTCAAACGTACCTGGAGGTTACCTGAGAATTAATTTAGAAAGGATTTAATTTTAAATGAGATTTGCTAATATTTGACGAAGTTTTATTTTTAATTAAATAAATATATAAAAATATCTTAAATACATTATAATTATTAAATAATATTAATTTATAATATTTATATAATTATATATAATATATATATATATATATATATATATATAATATATATATATATATATATATATATATATATATATATATATATATATATATATGCAACAAGATCACAGTAAACAGGTGATATTACAATATGCAAAACAACTACTGTGAAAAAACAGTGAACATCCTCAAGTTCTTTCATGATTTCTCACATTTTCAAGAACATGAAAAATCACGAAATCACTTGGTCACTTTTTTCACAGTGGTTGTTTTGCAAAGTTTTTCAGAATCGATCCGAATACCTCATTAGGCTAAAATAAGGGAAGGAAAACGTGATGGTCTCAGCTGTAAGCAGTAGGTATACAAATATTCGATGAATATGTTTTCGGAATAGCTAGCATTTGTTATGGAGCTTTAATGCTGGTGTTGCCATAATGACAACACACCGTCGCCTCCCTTTTGTCTTCTCTAATAACTCCCGGATCTACTGTTAACAACTAAGACCTTTGCATTTTTCTGTGTTTTACCTCTCATTTTGTCCTTATGAAGGATTTTGAAAAACTAATAATTTTGTACCAAAAGAACCTTAGAAAACTTACCTAACCTTACTATAACAATACACAAATAACCCGCACAGAGGAGAGAGGAGCCTACGACGACGTTTCGGTCCATTTACAAAGTCACAGTGTGGCTTTGTAAATGGTCCAAGTCGCACCGAAACGTCGTCGTAGGCTCCTCTCTTCTCTGTGCTGGTTATTTGTGTATCGTTCCAGTCACGGTATTATGCCTTTTTTGTTACTTATTATAACAAGCGCAATTTAATTTAGCCTAATAGAACTAAATATATTTTACCTAAGTTTACAATAATTTAATAATAAACAAACACAGTAACATATATTTTTTCGTTAGGTTCAGAATGATTTTTTGCGAAATTACTGCATACACAAATTTTCGCTTGCCTTATTCGGCAAGAAGAGCTTTGCTATTTAGGCCAAAATCGCAAGATTTACCTATTCGGCACATTATATATATATATATATATATATATAAATAATATATATATAATATATTATATAACCTGGAGGTTATACCTGGAGGTTATTCCGGGGATCAACGCCCCCGCGGCCCGGTCCATGACCAGGCACACCTGCGTTTAAATTAATTAAAGCTATTAGTTTAAATTGGAGACATGGTCTATTATAAAAAACGTGTAACATACATTTAAGTATTGCGCATGCAAGGCTAAAGGTGTATCTTAAATCTACAGCAAAGAGGCACGCCCTAATATAGCTGAGTGTAGGCAAAGTGGACCTAACCACCACATACTGGGACCGCAGCTAGCAAGTGCATTACAAGCCCCTGCAGCTTTGCGCACTGATGCATTAACATTCCTGAGACAATCACATGAGCTGCCCCCGTTTGTCAACCAGAAAGCCTTGCCCCATCCTGCCTTTCCTCATTTTCTTTCAAAGTAATACTTCATAATACAGTGTCTTAAGTTATCATGACATGGGCACGACAGAGTTACAAATGTTCTCATCATACACAAAACCTCTAGCATCATGCTGGGTGGGAAGGGGGGGGGGTAGGACCTGTAATATCAACACAATATCAACGCTAGTGAACCTGGCCATGGTGCGCAAGTCCTCACCTTTCCCACAACCCTCCTTCACTCATCACTTGGTCACCCAACCTAGCACATCTCTGATCACGTACAGTATATTATCCGCGTCCCAACTTAAATACCGGAAAAGCAAGCTTAGCCACTCCATAAAATAACATAAATCCCAAGAACTACACAATCAATAGGTTTATATATAGTCTCTTGAATTACATCACTGTTATAACTAAAGGCCATTTGGCCCTGTCTTTACTCATGAACTTTACACATTCACTGACACTGAGGTAAGTCCACTAGGCATAGCCTCCTTGCTTTGTAGGTAGGATAACCAACCTAAGTGACATTCTGGCAGCTACTCATCATCCTCTATTTTTATCCACCCTTTCCAAGTCGTAACTCATAAAAAAATTGCTTCAAAATCCAACTATTGTGCCTGTTTATGCATTAATCAGTTGTGCTAATGGTGAAAAATGTGAATGTGTTTATAAGAAACAAGCAAGAATTATCATAGTTATTTGCAAAGTTTAATCTACTTAAGTTTCCCCCAGCTTACATACCAATGGCAACTGTGCTGTTATGTTTGCATTCCAAATAAATAAAAAAAAAAACATTATCAAACAAATCCAAGCACCCCTTCCCACCCACCCTCTATACTGTAATCGTGTATAAAATATTCAACTCTGAAACCGAGCTCTTGAAACCGGAGGGGGAGAGGGAAGAGGAGGGAGCGGAGAGGGTTTATCACTGTTGGCTCAGTCCCCCAGCAATACAACCATCCCCCCCCCCCGCTCCCTTCCCGGACCTCTTGCAGCTGCTAGTACACCTTCAAGCCTCAGCTTCGAGTACAATGTAATCGTTGGTTGCAGTGGCTGATAAATATGTATGCCTGTACACTGTGAAATATTGTAATGCATCTCTGACCGCTATATCATGAACATCTCTTGATTTTTTTGTCGTTATTTCACCCCGATTCCCTTGAACAATTCATAGGTTATATACATTAAGTTGTGTGAGAGCGTCTATTTTTTCAAAATTGAGTAATTTTCTCCTGTTCCTGTGACCTTGTGATACCATTCCGTGGTTGAACTCTTGTTATGCAACCATTACACGCGACACCCTCTGTTACCTTTATAATAATAAATAACAAGCATGTTCAGCAATAAGTAATATAAAAAAAATATTCAGGCAATATATATTTAAAAGGCAAATAAACAAGAACAGTAAACCAGAATTGCAGCTCAAGAGGCGGGGCATATGGCAAGACGGGCGAGTTTTGCCTGACGCGGTTAAACTCACCCTAGACGAGTCGCACTGTCTCTCTCCCTCTCTCTCTCTCTCTCTCTTACCCACCCCCACCACCACCATCACCGCTGCTGGTGCTGCTCTTGCGACGCTGCTGCTGCCACACACAGCCCTGTTGTTCACTTCAAACTAAGATTTCCACCACGTTTCCTCCATCATTTTTTTTCCATAACTCACCGAGCACAGGAGATTGACAGGTCATATCCGCATGTCATTAGCTAGTTTCCTTATGTGTTTCAGCACATACTATGCTTGCTAACAGTACAATACACATATCCCTCTTTTGTTAACACTGTCACAAATACACAAGTTTACCACAGAGGGAACAGTACACGTTAACACAGATCATAATACACACGGCTCGGAGGAGGGGGGGGGGCGGTGGATAGGCAACAAAAGGGGCGTTTTCCCCGCTACCAAGATTACCCTTGACGACGACAAGTCCGATACCTTGGGAGCACTCGGCACGACTGAGCGATAGCACGCACCCGGCCCAGCCAACCCACACACAGCTTTTAGCAGCCGCCATACACTGCTCTTGCTCCGGATAACTGGAAATCCGGTTATATGACAGATAGCAGGATGTCACTGATAAGTCTGTATAATTGTTATGACAAGCTCACGGGTATTCGTGGACCGTATCAACGGCTGAAGATGTGTTTGTAGCCGTGTTCCCGCTCTGGCCAGCTATACGGTGTTCAGGTACACAGGAAACTTGTAGTGTCGCAAAATGTAAGCATGATGAGGTAAATACAGAGAAAGCTGACCACAGTATGAGTACACTGCCGCTTGGAAAAGTATACCTGACATGCATTTAGGCTACTCAACGTAAAAAATAAAGGCGAAGTAGAATTATTCTCACATCAACACGAGAATTCACCCTTCAGATAAGTAACTAGCTTCAAATAGGGAGGACTAAGGGTGACAGGAGATCAGAGCAACCTCTGTTTCTTACCTTTCCTAACAAACAGCAATCTATACAACAGATTGCTGTTTGTTAGTCCAGAGAGGTGGCGGATACCACATACACTTACCAGCTCTCTCCTTCCACTCCTGCCACATACCTGCGAAAAACAATACCGGTTAGTGTCAGCTGATAGAAGGACGTGGTAGTAGGGTAGCCAACATATCTTAATCATGTGGTTATTCAACGATTTTAGCGGGACAAGGTACACTGCACGCAGGGAACAAGCGGCTTCTGTAAAATAGGATAACTTGAGCAATGCTTATAATAATAATAATCTTATAAATACTATCAAAGGTAACTGCCAATATGACATTTTTCCAAAATATTGCATAAGTTCCCAAAGAACATTTATTCGCCCACACAGAAATTAAATTAACTAAAAATTACCCCATATGGATGAGCAAAAGACTGAAACATCTCTTTGGGAGAAATTTATCGGTCATTTAAAAAGGAAGAGTCACCTTACGAACTAACATGCTCTTCATATTAAAAGAGAGGCCAAAAAGGGCTAAGAAAACCGAAACAAGAATATGAAATTAAAATTGTAAGGGAATCGAAAGTAAATTTCAAAGGTTCCTTTCAAGTGTATATATCTATGATTTGGGGAAAATTGAGTTCACGTTACATCAACTCTGGCAGCTTATTGACAGGAAGAAAAATGGACTGACTTTTTAAAAATTACTTCCTGTTTGTCTTTATACAAGACACATATGGTAATTTTCAAGATTCTGAGGAAAAAAAGGTTTCGTAACATTATAGTCACTAACACATAATTAAATAAATAGATCGATTAATTCTAAATATATCTTCAGGTCTCGATTAACTGTTTTCATGGAATTATTTAAGGATTCATAATGTAACTTAGTAAACTGCTAACTAGTATGTTTAGTATATCACTGTAAATTAGCACTGAATTTTATCTAATATAAAGGAGATAAAGCCCTACCATTGAATTACTCCCAAATCAGCCTGATCTCAATAGTGGGAAAAATTATTTGAATAAGTAATATAGTATATAATTAGAGTCCACCTCTATAAGCATAATTTAATTTGGGAGTCTCAACTCAGATTCACCAAGGGTTGTTTTTGTCTAACAAATCTACTGACTTTCTTTAGTTTGACATTTGAGACAACAAACTATGATAAAAATATACTGGGTTGTCTACTTGGATTTCATTAAGATTTTTGATAGAGTGCCAAACTAAAGAATGATAAAGAAACTGGCAGTACATGATATTGACGGAAAATTATTTCTTGGATCCATAAATAGATAAATAAATAAATAGAGAATTTTACATAAATCAGATTGGGGACCAGTCACATGTGGTATTCCGCAAGTAGTAGTTTTGAGCCCCTTGTTCATAATTTACATTAATGACCTTGATGGAGGAATAAAAAAAATAACTGAATTCGCTGACGACACAACAATTAGCAACAAATGTATTCAGAGGAATCTACCACTGAATTCCAGAATGATTTAGACAGGCTAATGTTGTGATCGGAAAAGTGGCAAAAGAAGATGAATGTGGAAAAGTGCAAAGTCCTAATCTTTGGGAATAAAAATAACCCCTGGCAGTTATAAACTAAATAATATACAACTTAATCACACACCGGGCCGCGGGAGCGTTGAACCCCGAAATGCCCTCCAGGTAGACAGAATGCGAATAGGACTTGGAAGTTATGGTAAGCAGAACTCTAAAACCACGACAGAAGTGCCCGAGCTACCATAATAAAGCTACTTGGATTTACCGTATATCAAAAAGTAAAAGCAAGAGTAACACCTCCTTTATATTATGCAGCGCAATTCTATTCTCCATACTACAGAATGAATATAAATGCATTAAGGAATACAGAGAAGGCTGACCAAATTAAACTACTGTTTAAAGATTCTTTCATACGAAGACGGACAGGCCTGCACTCTCTCGAAAGTAGCATTTTACATTCTCTGTACCAAGATTACAGGGTGTTCCTGTGTCACTCATATATTCTTTGGATCAAAGCTATATAATACCGACAAACTGATAAAATACACAAGTGCAATACCTGGTTATCTTTATTGAGAGACGTATCACCCACCAGGGGCTTCGTCAGTCTAATACAGAGACATGTGACCTAAGAATTTTATAGTGGAGCCAGTGGAAGGAGAGGAGTGATGCAAAAGTTGTAGACGCGGTCACGTGAGCGGGGAGCCACTAGCTTAAACAAATCAAACCTTGAAGTGGGCAGAGATTATTAAAATAATGAGAAGCCCTAAATCCATACTGGTAATACAGCGCCATGGGAATGGGGGTAATAAGATTTGATCAGAAGGAAGGGGTAGCTCTAACTCCTTGGATCAAAAGTCCTTCACCGGCATCAGGTAACCCCTCCTCATCCCCATCGTCGAAGAGATATAAGAGTGAGAAAGAAGGATGATCGAACGGTTTTCCAAAAGCTTAAGTTTATCGAAGTTTAAAACAATGTTCAGTATTACTTCAATTGTTCTATACTGTGAAGGTACAAGTGACAACACCAGTGACTGGTTTCCATAATTCTTGTGTTCTCGCAGCCTGGCCTGAGGTCTGACTTCATTACTGATTGTGGTTAACCAGGCTGTTACTACCAGCGACCCACAGGTCTACATAATGGGTTATATATACACTTAAATACTGCTCAAATTTCATGTCAAAATACTCTTCCACAGAGCATTAAATTTCCGAATTGCAGCAGATATTCGATGCATAAACGAGAGGAAAAACTTAGGTTTTAACAAAGTGACTTCTCTGCTACTTTGGTGTTCCACACTAAAAATCATTTATTTACTAACATCTTTAAGAAAATAAATCATAATAGGTCACGAGTGAAATCATCCTAGCGGCCAAAACATCGAGTTTCCCCATATTTCCAAAACAGCCTGAAGTTCGATGGGTATATTTGTGCTCTTGTTCAGTCTTTTTATTTCTCATCGTCTGATTCCCTGCGTTGTGAGAATTATGGTAAGAAATGTGGTTCTTGGCTCAGAGGTAGCGCCTTCGGCTCACAACTCAAGAACCCAGGACCAATCCTGAGACGGGTGATGTTAAGATTTTGTTCGGATTTTTAACCCCGGAGGGTTAGCCACCCAGGATAGTCTTATTTCCATTGGGGTCCTCAATCTTGTTCCCCAGGATACGACCCACACCAGTCGACTACCACCCAGGTACTTGTTTGCTAGGCGAACGGGACAACAGACGTAAGGAAATACGCCCAATGTTTGCATCCATGCCGGGGATCGAACCACGGACACTCAGCATGTGAAGCAAGAGCGTTGCCTACGAGGCCACGGGCCACCGTGGACCTGGCGGAATGAGATACCAGCTTAACGGCAAAGAGACGCAAATATAATTATTTACAGTCTGTCCTATTCATCTAGTAGTGCATACAGTAGATACCTGGGTGTTCGGGGGCTATCGAGGCCGGCATTCTTGTAGGAACACTGCAGCAGACTTGTTGGCCCACATTCGGCAGGCCCTTCTCAAATTCAACCATTCTCAGGGAGGCAATAAATCTTAGAGCTGGACTTTGAAATGAACCTGTAAATCCAACGATGTAAATCCATAACATAGTCTACAGGGTAAGTTAAGAGTCCATAATAAAGTAAGTGGGTGCGTTTCCTGGTAAGCCAAATCTAACACTATGTGAAATCTGGAGCGCTTAGTGAGTGTGCCGGTTCTCCCTCAATAGAGGATCTCGTCTCTACCTTCTCAGTACATACAGTGTCACGTACGCTTCCATTGCATATTCAGCAACTCTACACATTGCGTGGGAGTCGTTCTGCAAGCTCTTGTGGATTAAAAAGATACTAGAGTAAACACTCTTATTAAAAAAAAGTTTCGATTTTGGGACCTTGATTACTTCTAACAGTTAAAAGTATTCAAGGTTCCAGTACTGAAACGTTTTCTAATTAATATGTCCTAGTGTTTGCTCTCGTGTTTTTTAAACCGCTACGACGGTATCAATTATCAAGGTTTATATCATAGGCTCTAGTTTTTTATCCTATCAAAACACAGTGTTTAACTTTCTATGATCAATCTTCCCTCCAGGTTTGTCAAAGAAATGCTTCAGTTTCTGAAAACAGATTTACAAAGTGCGTAATATAAGTATGCATGAAATCTGAAGTATACCTGGAGTCTACCTGGAGGGCATTCCGGGGATCAACGCCCCCGCGGCCCGGTCCATGACCAGGCCTCCCGGTGGATCAGGGCCTGATCAACGAGGCTGTTACTGTTGGCCGCACACAATCAAACGTACAAGCCACAGCTCGGCTGATCCGGCAACGTCTTTAGGTATAGCCTACAGCAAGTGTATGACATCGCCACTCTAATTTATTATAAACTGTGTACACTACTACTACTACTACTACTACTACTACTAATAATAATAATAATAATAATAATAATAATAATAATAATAATATCACTTTTACAACCAGGTGTGTGTTCGTATCTACAACTGCAGTAGGTTTTACGTGCGCATGTGTGCAGTCTGTGTGTAGTGAGCGTTCAGAGAAAAA